ACGAATCAAACTCCGGTCGTGCAGGAAGTCTCAACATTTCCAACTCTTTTCTACTCGCATCCATGGGGCGCAGGTAGAGACGCTTGTTGCGGTGAATGTGGACGTACTCTGGCTGTTGTTTTTTCTCAAGCACATGGGGTGCCTTATCCCTAAACCGCCTCTTTAATTCCTCAAGGTTTTTATGTCGCAACACCGACTCATTCTCCATCAGTGATGGTGGAGGTCTCTTCAAATTATCATGAGGGCGACTAAAGGCATATGCACGGTCCATGCGCTCTGCCGCCCCTTCCGCCACGTGAATAATCTCGTCACGCTTTTCGCTACACCGCATCTCCTCGCAAATATGGGCCACACGCAACAAAATCGCAACAGCACTGGGATGCGAATGCGAACACGCCTGCGCAAACCGGGAGCATCCCTCAACGTATTGCAAAAACGTGTCCTGATCGGCCTCTGGGAGCTCCTCAAATTCCTTAATTTGCCCAGAAAGACGCATTTCGCTGAAGCATTCCAAGGCTTGAAGTAGCAGTCTCGCCTTGTCAAAGCCGCGGTTGCTATCTCTGACCTTCCAGCGAGAGGTCATAATGCCAACAATGGCGTTCAGTCGGTCTCGTGGCGGCAGATCACTCAGTCTGTTGGTCGAGAAGAGGTAAACATCATTGCTTGAATCCTGCGCGTACTCTGCAAAGCACTCGGTGGCCTCTCGCTCGTGACCCTCCTCGTGTACCAACTCGTAATTGTTTCCGCCTGTCAACCACCAGTTCCTCGCAAACCGGATGCGGTCTTTCACCAAACTTTTATGCCGGGCGGTGGGATACTGATGCAGATTCCGAAGCCCCGCCTTCTGCTCCATCAGGGCTGTGCTTGATGCCAATTTCGGCGGTTCCGTCCGCGCTGCTGTTGAGCCAACTGCGCAAACCCGAACACGATGCCACATGGTTTCACTACGTTTTATTAAAGCTAACAGCAAAACAACGCCAAAAAAAATAATAATAAATAAATCAAAAAAATGGCAAAGACGCATCCAAATAAAGGAGGCGACCACCTCCTCCTCCAAATAGAAACAAAGAGAAGGTAAAAAATAATAATAAAGGGAGCAACACGATTATAAACAAACAAACGAACACACACACAGACACCAAAACAATAAGAATAAAAACGAAACACCAACGACGACAAAAAAAAACAACACCAGAGTAAGACGCAAGCAGCAAAAGGAATTACACGCCAAGGTATCCCTGACGATGCAAAAAACTCACAGGTCAGGTTTGCCCCTTTTCACATCACGTGTAAGGGCCATCTTATGCTGCATCTTTTTGCGTGTAATCTTCTTCTTTTTGATGTACGCTGGTGCATCCTCCTGCGCTTCCTTTAGTGCTTTCAGATTCTTTTCACGCTGCTTGGAACGCGTATCATGAAATCGTTTTTCATCATATTGTGTTCGGGGGCGATGTGGCGTCGTAGTCGTCATCGCGCTCTCTTCCCTCAGGCCGCTCTTGGAAATGTGACCCGCATCAACCTTTTCGTCGCCTGAAGCCGACGAATCCGAGCCGTTCGCATCGTGGCCAGCCTCATACCCGCACACCCCTGCAATCTCCTGGGTGTCGTCAAACTCATCCTCGTACATCAATTCGGTCAACATGCGGATTTTCTCCCTCAATGCTTCATCCACCTCAAACATCTCCGCGGCACCACGGTGACTGTCAGGATGATACGTGGTGTAACCAAGATCGTTTGAAAGATCATCACCAGAAAAGGGCCTGTCGTCACCGTTGATGACATCGCATAAGTCACGGCTAATAAATAGATCCAAATTTATGCCATCAAAATTACTGTCGTAGTCGTTTGAAGTAAGCGTATGTGTGACTCTAGACGTGGGAACAGCGGTGGCGATTGCATTGACTGCAGACGCCCCCGTTTCGTCTCGACCTGATATCTCCACAGAACAGGAAGATGTGGGTTCGCTAAGTTGCGTGAGAAGATGTGGGGGTATGTTATTCATGGAGGCATCAAGAATAAAATCTTCCACGTCATTATTGTAATAACACAAGGCAGCCTTGATACCCTCCACATTAAAGTGGGGCATAACATCCAACACAATTCTCACTAATGGATCTGAAGAAGCTCTTGTTGTTGTTGTTGTTTTTGTTGTTGTTACTGCTGCTGCTGCTGTTGAAGTCGGGAATTCGGTAACATCGTCGTTGCCACCGTCACTTTTTGGAAGTGCTGCATCCCCTGTAGTTTTTTCAACGATGCCAAGAATGGCCTGCGTGATAACCCGCTCCGATGCCCCAAGTTCTTCCGCCTCATGAATAGTAATAAACTTTTCCTCCATGAGCAAATCAATATGAAACCCCTGATGTATCAACTCCAGCAGAAGTAATTCCAGGTAGCGGGAACGAGCTCCCAAGAATCCGTCCGAAAAGTCTTTACTGTCGGGCACCGCTTCGCTTAAATGAAGTAATACTTTTCCCACTTCCAATTCATCCGTACCTGCTTGTGGAGGCAAAAGCTCATGTATTATTCGTGTTAACGGTCGTCTTGTGTTGGAGAGCAACAAACTGGGAGGCCCAGGCACCTTTTGCACAATGTGACTAGTGAGGGCATCGTAGACAGGCACCACAATACGTTCCACACAGTGACATCGATCAAAGCCCGTCACCTTTTGGTATGTGCGGAACAATATAAGTATCGATGCGGTGTTGACAGCAGCATTGAGAATAGCTGAGTTCGCCTTGGAGAGCTGCTCACGACGCTTGGAGAGCGTCGTGCATGTTAAGAGAAAATGCTGAAGAAGGGGTGAGATTAAATCAACTACAACCCGTAAATATTGTAACACGCGCGTTAACGGCATGTAATCCGCAAGAAATGGGGCACAGTGCACAAGTGCCCATAACTGTTTCACATGACGGTATACCTGCTCAAAGAGTTGAACCACGTCTCCGGCTAGTCGTTGATGTCTGCCCCTCGCAACTTCCCTCACGCACTGAACGGAAAGACAAGAGGTCGCGTTGCACCAAGAGGTTGCCGTGGCCGACATGGCACACAAATACAAAGGATTAAGAAGAATAAGGGATGTAATCGTTACAGAGGCAATGGAGAAACAGTGTCGCAAGATGATCAGCGAAACAGGCATCAATAGATCGGGCGGAATAATTTCCTCAAGGTGCCTCGCCACACTTGTCAAGCTGACGCCCACAGATAAAACAGCAGACGTAGTGGTAGCTAAACGAACAATAAAAGTGATCAAGGCATGCTCGTCACTTCGCTTAAGCTGACGATGGAATGCCGAGCTGTGAGCAACATCCACAGCGGTGATGAGATTTCTCAGAACGAGCGGTAAATTCCCGTGGTTTGCAACAACCGTCCAAAAGGTGTGGTTATCCAACTCAGCTACGAGCGCCACATCACGCCATGTCTTCTCCGAGGCATCGGTGGTTCGGAAGAAAGTGCTGCAGACTGCGGCATCGGGGTCAATGAACTTCTCTTTCAGCGTCCCTGACATCAAAACCAAAAAAAAAGAATAATAATTGTTATTACTCCCTTCTCCCTTACAAGAGACTACAAATTCAAAAAAAACAAGGAGAGAACACAGAACTCAAAAAAAAGAAAAAAAAAGGAAGGAGGATGTAAAGACGTCCGCGCAGCGGAACACAAACGATTATTGTGCCGCAAGAAAGAAAACCGATGGGGATGAAGTACCACTTAAAAAAAAAAATAGCTGTGTATCTTCATCCCACAAAGGTGCAGAGCTCAGAAGGTCATGAGTTAAATGAATGAAAGAGAGTGTCCAGCTTCCTCAACGTCGTCATCCCTGTGAAGGAGCCCATTTCGCTTGTCGTTGTGAGTGACGCAAGCAGAGGATTACCGTCCAACTGTCTCCAGCTCAAAGGAACGTTATTTGGTAGCGCCTCTGTGAGCATCCCAGGGAACTCGTGTCGAATTAGTCGCGCCGCCTCACGCGTAATATCATCCAAAAGCAACACCAGTGGCAAATAACCAACATCCGAAAATGCGTGAAACTCAAGGAGCGAGACCCCAGAAATTTGGCCTCCCTCCTTCACTGCGTTGTCCATAGATTCATCTCGTGTGTGACAAACGCATACCCGCAAGAGGGGAAGTGGTGTTCCTGCTGGCGTCAAATTGCCCAGCCAAAGAGTCTCGGAAAAAATAGGAACAGATGGAACCATATACCGATGCAGACGGCTCGTTAGCATTGGGAAAAAATCTTGTGGGCAGTGATGTAACATCAATACACGTGACATCACGTTATTCTGCTGTTCATCCTTTGCCCCACATGTTGTGGCAGCGAAATGCCGCACACATTCTATTACCTCATTTGGGCATCTGTTTCTTATCAAACTAGGAACAAGATATTCCACCATCAAGCACCTTTGCGTCGGTGCACCACACGGAAGTTCCGATACCGTCTCAAAGTCATCTTCTTTATTTCTTTTCCCAGAAGAGCACATTGTTACGGGAAAATCCGGGCAATCGGCATTTGGAGTATATACCCCATTGAATTTCCCTTCCATAGTCACCGTGGAAGTTGTAGAGGTGTTCCCAGTGTTCATTGCTGCCGATAGGAAGGACCGTCGAAGAATGGCTGTGTCCGAAAGCAAAAGCAACATCGCAAATGTTTCCACCTCCTTTGTTGAGAAACAGGCCAGTTTAAGTCTGGGGGAAAGTTCCAACAGTAACCTATGAGAAAATATGCCTCGTGAAACATCATGATTAGGGTCACACTGTCCACAGCGCTCTAAGTTAACATCCTTGAGTAGATTACCATGTGCCTCCGAATGATTGTTGGCATAGCTAGCATATAAGAAAACCGTTGCTTGGGCCCGTTCAACAAGATGCGGATGGAAGCAGATACACACATCTCGTATTGGCAGAACGTCGGGATGATGGCGGATCAAAACAACCTCCCCAGCGTTTTGCAACTTCTCCAGAATCAACGTTAACTGCCTTCTACCGACCATCACGGATGAATACAACAACCTCCAAAGAATATTACGATAAGCAAAAAGGACTTTCTTCTCCGCCTTGGCACGGGTAATAAGACCCAGTAGTTTAGAGTTGGCTGCATCAATGCGCGAATTCACAGGCACTTTCATAACTGAACAAGGATGAGAGGAAGAACTGTTATCATTCGTGTCATTCCACTTGGAAGAGAGCTCATCTTCCTTCGAATTACATGTCTCTGATGGGGCAACTGCGTAGAGAGGTGAACGATGGGGACGCCAGAAAGAGTCGCTACAAGAAGCTTGATGACTTATCCTCGATGAATGGCGCGACAAGATTTCTTTCAGAGTGACATCGCAAATAAAACTCCACATTCCCGCCATTGTGGTAGGGCCTTCCCTGTTCTCAGATACACAGGACCCATCCACAGTATTTACCGCAAACAAGGAATTCAGCACAAGTGATTTCCGAAAAGACGCCAAAAAATTGTTACAAATGGACCGAACTTCCTTTAAAAGGACTTCCACAGCACCTGTGGTTTGATCGGTTAATAAATCCTTATGGGTGCCTACGAGTATAATATTTGGGCATCGCCCCCCAGGAGAGATCCGTGCGGCAATCGTTGCGAACAAATCATGAAGTAGTGTTTGATCCCCTGCGTGGACAAGGACCGTAGATGAATCCTCCTTATTTCCTTCGTTTTTCCCCATAAAGGTAAGTAGCTTTCTTGTGGCAGGGTATTTCTGTTTGATACCTGTTAGTGCAAAGGCGATTACAATGGTGTCACAGCCTGGTAATACGTGACGGGCCGTACCACCGCGAAGTGGTACAGGTCCGCTATCAACAACGCTCATCTCCAAAAATTCCTTTCGCCTTGACACGGACGACTGATAAATGTACGTTACAAAGGAACCCGAGCTTAAAGATTGAAAGTCAGAAGCGGAGCCGCAACGATCCGCCACCTTCGCGGCAGCAGAAGCAAGCGATGTACGCCCACTGCCAGCATCCCCGAGAATCCCCACACGAGCGCGTGCAACAGTTCTACTTGTGCTATTATTATCGTTATGACTACCAATGCTGCTGTTGTTGTTGTTTTTGTTGTTACTGCCGCTGCTGGGGCTTTTGCAATGGGTTATTGTGTCAATCATCGACGGTGCCGGCAAGGGCTCATCGCCCCGCCGGAAGAAATTAGAGAGCGTGGACTTCCATCTCCCACTCTCCAAGAAAGTCGTGCTAAAACTTGCGTCGTTCCGTGAACACGGCTGCTCGCTCAACGGCGTAAAGGAGGAGAAAACACGCGAAGGACCCTCCTCGTTGCGAACTTGGTGCCCCTTCGGCATCCGCCGTCAGGAATCGGAGAATCCCCCTACACCACCACCTCGCCACTACAAGCGGTGAGAAAATCACACAAATAAAAGCAAAAAAAAAAAGAGCAAAAAAAGAAATAAGCCAACAAAACAAAAGAATCGCAGAACATGTCCGTCAACTGACGGACAGAGATTGACACGACAAATTTCCGGTTGTGGATTCCTTCGCCACACGGCATCGCATCCAATAAGCAAACCACAAGCAAAAGACCCACGTGCACAAGGCCCGCACACGCAGACAAGAATAATATTTTTCCTTTTTCACCGACAACTTGATTTAATTGAGTATCATCCGCCCCAAAAGGAAAAAAAAAGGAAGAAGTTTCATAGAAATCGCCTTTGGTGGTAATAATAATCAAAATAATAAGCAACACCAAAAGAGAGAAACCCAAAAGGTTACACAGGCGCGGACGCCTACAAACCAAACAGGGACAACCACAGTACAACCAAATACGGGGGCCATGTGCCGGAGAGTGAACCCCACAGACCAAAAAAGACGGCGATACCACTTTTTCCTCCCCCTGTTATTTCCACTCCTTTGAACTTTTGAAGATAAAACGGGGGACCGCTTCCACGCCTCAACTCAATGGTATCAAACCTTATCACCAATTGGAGGATCAGCATTTATTCACAGAAAAAAGAAAACAATCATGTAAAGTAAAATGATTATTTATTTTGCGTCTTCATGAATTTGGGTTGGACTCTCCTCTTCCCCACAGTTTGGGTGCTGGGCTTTGAAGTACTCAACAAAGTCGTCAATGGCGCTTGGCCACGCATCATTGACATCGTATGTGTCATACCGAGTTAAGGACGTAAACTCCAAGAGCTGCTCCCAAAGATCTCGACTAATGGCTTCACGATGAAAGATTTCCTTGGTTGTGCAAAATGTTATCCAATCATTCATTTTGAGAAAGGTTTTGTATTCAGGAAACAGCATTTGCCACAACTCGACAGCTGTCGCTATATTCATCCCCAACTCGCCCAGACTTCTTGCCGTAGTCTCGGGTGAGCGTACCCATCCAAATATAAAACGGTAAAATTTTCTGAATTGATCCGGGTCCTTGTGTAACACCTCGTCTATTTCGTCAACGTGGGAACGCATCGCACAAAGATACGGATTAAATTCTGGCCGTAATGTATTCTTTGGTAAATTCGGGGTGATGGCGTTCGGCTTTGTCTTTTTCATCGATGTCTCTAATGCTCTCATACCCTTCATAAATTCATTCTTTTTAATACTAAGTGGTGTCTGGCATGACCAGCTCCACGCAAGACGATAAATGGAACTGTCGTCTAGTGAAACTCCAATCATTTCCGCGAGAATCTCCAACTGCGGCAGCTCCAATACGTCGATATCAAGGTTCTTCTGTCCTCCATTGCTCTTCTCTATGATGCTGCAGAAAAGAGCCTCATACACCGCGTAATTCCCATCGGGTTTAGCCACACGCATCATTGCCGTCGCTGCTTTACAGCCCACAGTTTTTATTCGAACCCTAAAAAAAAAGAAGGTGTCGTCTGCTTCTTATTTAAATTTCCTTCAGCCCCCCTTTGTTTTTTTCTTGTTGAAACTGCTTCACTCCTCTGCCGTTGCTTGGCTACCCACTGCCACCTACAGGCTTGAGACGTCCAGCAGTTACTTACCGCCGCAAAACAAATAAATATATAAATAAAGGCAAAAAGTGAAATAAATGAATACCCCATCCGCTGTAATATAAAATACATAAAAAAATAAATATGCCACTTATTTCACGGCTTCGTAAAGCGCCAACACGCGGACACGTAGGCAACGAAAATTATTTTTTGTTTATATGCATATGTGCACAACTTCCTTTT